TTAAAAAAAGAAATCAAACATTTTCACTTCACAGAACCTTTTTATAAACTTATTAAGCGTAACAAAAAATGGGACCCCACAAATATGGGGCCTAAACCAGTTATTTTATCTGCTTTATGGAAGGCCGCCCCTGATTTCTTGTAATTCTTTGCTTTCCAACTTCAAAGCTTTGCACGTGCAGAGGCGTACCAAAGGTAATACTGGCTAATTTATTTCCAAACAAATGATTTCAACTGTTCAATTATAACTTCAAACTCCAATACAGGAAAAGGGCAGAGTCATTATTTGCATGTGCCACTTAGAATGTAAAAATAGCACGCGCTATTCAATTTTCGGACTGATTATTAAAAAATAGCTAGCATTTGAAAGTCATTTAAAAATAGTCACTATTTTGCTGCAACATGGAAAGTTTCAGCATAATATGCTGGAGATTAGTACACCTGTGTATCAACTTCTAGCATATTATGCTGGAACTCCAACACGCGAAAAGTTCCAGTATAATATACTCTCCAGTATATTATGCTGAGTATACTTATGCTAGAACCCTAGTATATTATACTGGAATTTCAGTATATTATACTGGAGTATTTTTCCGAATTTTGAATAGTGTTTTCATTCAGATTTATCTTTACATGAAAGTGGCTAAATTTCGATTACTTTTTGAAACTATAACTATTTTTGAATGACCACTTGTAAATCTGGCTAAGAATTTATCATTTTACACGTAAGAGATCTCAAAATAAAAATCAAGTGATCTTTACAAGTTATTTAAGTTGTTTTGTTGCGGCCTAAATTTAATTCTTTTGATAATGCTTTTATGATTCTTTCTTTTAAATAATTAACATGTCTAGTACCTAGTTTAACATAATTTATAGCTGATATATGTTAAAGATAGAAAAGTTAATTAAGTGTCTATATAGTATGTTAGCATTTCTTCATTTGTGTAGTTTGATTGTTTACCTGATCCTATCTTCTTCTTTTATAACTCCAATTCTCATTGAAAATAGTTGAAAAATATGGGTAATATGGCACACTTATTTAGCTTTTCACATAAATTAGTAAAAATAGCACGGCTAGCCAGTTTTCCGACTGATCATTTAAAAATAGCCAGCATTTACAAAGTCATTGAAAAATAGCCACTATTTTGCCGCAACACGAAAAGTTCCAGCATAATATACTGGAGATCGGTGCACCTGTATATGAATTTCCAGCATATTATGCTAGAACTCCAACACGCGAAAAGTTTCAGTATATTATGATGGACCGGTATATTGTACTGGAACTCCAGTATATTATACTGGAGTATTTTTCCGAATTTTGAATAGTGGTTTCGTTCAGATTTATCTTTACATGAAAAGTGGCTAAATTTCGATTACTTTTGAAACCATGACTATTTTTGAATGTCCACTTGTAAATCTAGCTATTTTTGAAATTCTCCCCATAAATTATGTATGGAAATTTTACCACCTATAGAATAGGTTAGTACCCTATTTATATTAAATAAATACCATTTTAAAATATTACATCCTATAAATACCTTTTATAGTTTATAGCAAAAAATCTAAATATAGTTCCATCCTACAATTAAGGCACCATATATGCTACAAAATATTTTTCTCTCATTTTTTATATTTTCTCTCAACTAATTAGCGTATATCTCCTCTGACCAGCTTTTCTCTCTCTTCTTTCATACATTTTACCCTCTTCTCCCACAAACCTACGTTTCATAAATCTTCTCCCACCCTAAATCTCTATTTCTCCGCCATTGTCACCTCTACTCTCTTCTCCCACATACCCACGTTACTCAAATTCTTTGTCCTCTCTGTATTTTCACAGCATAATCAATCTTTATTATTATTTGGCATACAAAAACAGATCTATAAAACAACAAATTTCAGCAAGAAAAACGGAAGAAATATAGAGATAGAGAAAGTAGAGGAGAAAGAGATCTAACCGTCCATCTCAACGATAGGGTTTTCAACCTTGATTTTGTCGAAAGCCATGTTTACAGATGAAAGAGGTGAAACTGTATTCACATGTATTCAGCAACATTCATTTATATATTTTAGATGTATTAAAAAGTTGTGATTATTCTCTTGTATTCAGTTTTAATCAGTTGTAATTAAATTTTATTCAGCAATAGTTAGTTGTATTCAAGTGTTTTATACAATTGTATTCAGTTGTAGTTAGTTATATTCAACTATTTTATTCAGCAGAAGTTAGTTGTATTTTGTTGCATTCAAGAGTTTTATTCAGCTGTATTCAATTGTATTTTGTTGTATTCAATAGAGAAAAAGGAGAAGAGAATTGAGAAGTTCGATCAGATGTGTTGCTCTGGTTTTTCCTTCTTTTCACGTTTTTGAGTTGCTTTCTTTGAGCAAAATACAAATTAGTGTGTACTCGTTTTAGTTCTTTGAGTTAAATTAGGAGACTATCATGTGATTTGATTTTCTTCTGCTTTTAACAAGTTTGAGTTCCCAGAATTTGCGCAAAAAAGTTACTGTATTTCACTGAAATTTTGTTAGAATACAGTTAAATACAGCTGAAATTTCGCTTGAATACAGTTAAATACAGATAACACTTAGTTGAATTTCCCGTTTTTATGCCTATTTTTTTTCTTGTATTAATGAATACAACCGTTTAAATACATGAAATACATTGTATAAAAACATAAAAGATATCTATAGAGCGTAATATAGCAAAAAGTATCTATAAATGGCTAATTAGGACTAAAAGATGGTGCTTTGTGAAAAATTCTCATTATGTATTCACAAAATTTCCAATTTGGGCAATTTGGTTAGAAGAATATATGTACATTAAGGTGGGCCCAATTGTGATTGGAAATGGCTCAGAATTAGAAAGCCCAGAAGCTTAATCAAAAATAACAAACTACATAACAACCATTCAAAGACAAACTAGTCAGACTCTATGTATTTGTGGACCGACATAACTCCGTAGCTGAAGCCACGTGTAGGATTCTAACTAAAAAGGCATATTAGAAGATGGGCAAAATGGTCGACCCGGAACCAAAAGTTTATGAAGATGCTACAGTACCTTACAAAATTAACCAATAACAAAAAGCCTAAAGTCTGCAATGTCAGTTCTAACCCTTTAAACGGCAAGTATACGATGCTGACCCGATTTGTATCCGGATGCAGTTCTCTTTTAACCGGATACAGGTCTCATTCTCACTTATTTAATAGTAGTGTAGTAAAGTAAAGTAATATAATTCTCTTTTTCCACTGCAATTGTGGGCGTTGTGGCACTGTGCGGTGAAGAAGTTCTAAGTGGCGACTAGTGGTAGTAAAATGGTTAAAAGTAAACGGTTATCCACTCATATTATCCATTTAAAAATAGATAGGGTAATGAACTTTTTTAAAATGAGTCAAATATAGATAAGAATAATATTATGCACTTAGAAATGGATAACCAATGGATTTAATGTTTATATTTATAAAGCTTCAAATTAGGGGTGTTCAAGTTTGGGAGACGTAGAATTCTCCCAAAAATGACCATATTCAAGAAATCATAAATGATATGGATATCCATATTATCCGCTGGTTAACCCATTTTTTATCCATATTAACTAGGCGTTTGGACATGAATTCCAATTTTTTTTTTCAAATTTGAATTGAAGATGAAGTTGTGTTTGGTTATAATTTTTACAACATATTTGAATGTCTTTTTTTTTCAAAACCATGAAATATGATTTATACCCCACAACTTGTAAAAAAATATCAAAACCACCCTAATTTAATTATCGTACTTGAAATAAACAATCAATATGCTATTGTTTAACTGTTATCATATTCTGCTTTACTGCAATACACAGAAGATGCAAAATCAATATCACATTTTCTAATTCTACTAACACACAAAAAAGGTGTAAAAGCAGGCATAGCCACATATTTCTCATAATAATCAAACTTCCTGTAGGAAGAGTTCAAGTATCAACTAGGACTGATGTTTTACCATCAATCGCTAAAGATGTATCTACCAAAGATAAAAAACTGATGGAGTCATTTTATAAATTTTAAAAATATAGGGTAAATTTGTAAAATTAAAAACTAGCAAATTCTCATTTTCAATTGAAAAACTGGTGGTAAGAATGGGATAACCAAACATTGTTTTAAAAAAAAAAAAATGTATGTCCAAACGGGCTCTTAATATGGGTCGGGTCGGATAAATTACCCATTTTTGCATTATCCGTTTTTGGCTCGTCCATATCCGACCCGAACCGCCCGTTTGCCATCCCCAGTGGCGATTCTTATATATATAAGTTAAAGAGCTGTACATATAGCAGCTGTAAAAAGATGCAATATAGGAGATGATAAATCTTTGATGGTAAATTTAATGAATGAATATTAACTGCAGAACGAAATTGAGTTTATGAATTAGCCAGTACCTTTGAGTTATACTTTCATGGCGCATGGCCCCGATATGTCACTTGGTTAACTTTTGTAGAAAAAAATAAGTAGTATAATAGGGAACAGGGGATCAAATATAGGCTGCAAGTAATATAGGGTCCACGTTATTTAACTATTTTGACATTTTAAACTATCAAATAGTTAACTTGGTCAGATAATCATTGCAATTTATGCGACAAACAAAAGCTGCCTGTTGATCTTAATGATAAATTACAATAACAAAAATTTTAAAACATTTCTCAACAAAGAAAATAAAAAACAACATGAAACCAAAAAGTTAATATATGGTAAAGAAATTTACATTTCAATAACTTTTCAGGTTTAAATCAATTTCTACGTGGGTCTAAAGGTCAAAAATGATGTTCTATATATATACCAATTTCTCTGTCAGTTATCTATGTATCAATAACCAATCAACCCAATTGGCTAAAAGGAGAGAAAGAGACAAGGAAATGCAACTAAGGACTCCAAGTTGCAGTTTAACTTTTATTTTTTATTGAAAAATTGGCAATACATGTGATGATACAATGGAAGCTTATTTATAGATATTAATTCACAGAATCAGTGACAAGTCATAAATGGACGAAAAGGTACCTATGTGAGAGTGAGAGGGCAACAACTTTGTTACTTGTCGACAAAACATCTTGTACTGTTATAGCTCCTCTCGTGACTATGAAATATGAATCAATCAATTCTAGTCTAGCCCTCTACTTTTTCCAATTAATCTATATAATTGATCTTAATTTCTACCACTCCTCAGCCTCTGAGCAAAAATGGCTACCATTATCTCTATTACTTTATCATTTGTATTAGTTATAACTTTTTTCATCCAAATATTTTTGCAGAATGGTCTAGTTTTGGCTGGTTCAATTCTTGGCCAAAGTAGAGAAACTTTGGAAATAATCATCGGCGGAGGTGGTGAAAATTCTCCACCACCACCTCCACCGGATAATCAAGATTGTCCACCACCACCACCGTCACCAGAACCACCTTGCCCTCCACCACCATCGCCACCACCATACCTCTTTGAAAGTAAACGTATCGAGATAGCCTACAATGTAATCCAAAAGTTTAAGGCCAAAATCAAGTATGACCCTTTAGGAATTAAAAACACATGGGTTGGCTATGATGTTTGTAACAAGTACAAAGGTTTCCATTGTGCAATTGTTCCTGATTATAAGGTTCAAGCACTAGCTGCAGTGGACTTCAATCAGTTCAATTTTGCTGGTCCTGACCTTACTCTTAACGGCTTTCTTGATGAATTACCAGACATAACAATTTTCCATGCAAATTCCAACAAGTTTACAGGCACAATCCCAAAAAAGATCGCGAATCTTCGTTACCTTTATGAGTTAGACCTTAGCAACAACAATTATAATGGCGAATTTCCAAATGACGTTCTTGGTGCCAAGAATTTAACGTTCTTGGACCTTAGATTCAATACTTTTTCAGGATTGGTTCCACCTCAAGTTTTCATGCTAAACCTCGACGTTCTCTTTATCAACAACAACAATTTAATGCAGAAACTTCCTGATAACCTGGGATCAACCCCGGTTCTTTACTTGACTCTAGCCAACAACAAATTCATTGGCTCCATTCCACGTAGCATTGGCCAAGCTTGTAAAACTTTACTTGAAGTTCTGTTCTTGAACAACCAGCTTACTGGTTGTTTGCCATATGAAATTGGGCTTTTAACTAAGGCCAGAATATTTGATGTGAGCAAAAACAAGTTAACAGGGAAAATACCTCATTCGTTCGGATGTTTGGCTAACATGCAGATACTGAACTTGGCGCAAAATCAGTTTTATGGACCTGTGCCTGAACTGGTGTGCAAGCTGTCCAACTTGAAGAATTTGTCGTTGTCGTACAATTACTTCACTGAGGTTGGGCCAGAGTGCAAGAAGCTAATTCAAAGAAAGGTTCTTGATGTGAGGATGAATTGCATTCCAGGGTTGCCAATGCAAAGATCAGCAGCAGAATGTGCAGCATTTTTTTGCAAGCCTAGATCCTGTCCTGATGAAAAGTCATTGGGAATAGTTCCATGTACAATTGGCAATTTGGAGCACAATGAACTGGATTCATCTACTAGTTCTGTTTCGGCCTTAAATGATCCGGCTCCAGCGCCAAGAACTTATGGTGCTTTGAAACCGCATTCCTTGTAAATGCCTGTTTTCCATGTTTGCATAAAATTATACTATGGCAGCAGTAAAATGTAAATTTGGCAAGTTTTTTATTTTTATCGATGCAAACATATTGCTGAAATTATTCACTTATTATCAAGTAATTACACAAGTCTTTTGGATGAAATACAATTTAACAAGGTATAAGAGCATACAGAGGTCGAAGGTTCAAGTCTCACAACCATTACCAAAAAAGATATTCACGAACTTGGCTTACAACAAAATCAATCTTGTACAGAAAATGTTAAAGATATCATTACGTAAACAAATATACATATCTATAATAACTCAAACTTTTAGAGGAGCAAAACTTAATGCAATAGTAAGTGTGGCATGTGGCTACATACCGGTTTCACACACTTGATGTGCACATTCATCTATATCGACATGCTTACATGAATTAATGGTTGGGAGGGGTAGGGCGGAGGTAGAGTATTGCTTACGGACTCGGAAGAACCCTATAGCTTTTGCTCAGGCTTTCTATTTGTATTAGAAAATTCATTAAATATGTGTAAATATTTATTGAGAACCCACTAACTAAGGCGTGCTAGATTTCTCGCAAGTTCAGAACCCATAAATTCTAAAGTTTGGCTCCACTTCTAGGGAGGAAAGGTTACCAGTTTTCTAATCGCCATTGCTGGGTGAGGGAGGAGGCTAGTTTCCGGTCCAAACAAAGGCTCGTTTTGAAATCAAAACCATTTGGTTCATAAATCAAATATGCTAGTATTTCCTTTTTGGTAATTTTCAATATTGTTACCCATGCAGTGAATCATTCTGTGTTTAGTCGCAAGTGGACAGATCAAAATCTAATAAGTGTGACATTTAGGTCCGTACTGGTGCACATTTCATCCAATATCGTGAATTCACGATCGTTGAGTCAGTTCTACACATTGACAGTCTAAGAAAAATATTTACACAATACCTCTTATTCCTTCTGTTTTACTTCCCCTGATTCAATTCCTCATCTTTTTACCCATCAAATGCAGTAGTACATATCTTGAAATTGTGTTAATGGCATTAAGATCATACCTTGGAAGAATTCTTAAAGAGGTGAGAAACTTAGAAAAACTATGTAGCTTTTAGTTCTTAACCTGAAGCGATGAATGTAACCAAGTTGTTGATAGACTTGCCTCTCTAACCTTGACATACCCTCAATCTCAGATGTTTCATAACTTCTCTGAACTGCCTACTCAAATCAAAGTCCTAATGCCTGTTTATAGGTGGAGTCCCACAGTTATTTGTATATCCAACAAGAAAAAGCCAGAGATCACTTTTGAACCACCTTGAAATTAGAGGATTCTCTGTAGTTGTAGAATTTTTTGGAGGTACCCCCACCTCTAGTATAGGTAGACATCACATTCATTATAGCTTGGAGCCTTATGTATTTTACCAATGACATTTTCCTCATCTCTTTGTATCTAGATAAATTAGCTATTTTTCAAGCTAGGTTAGGGATGTATGCTAACTATATACCGCTCCCACAAATCATCTGTACTATTGATTTTGGAAAATTAATCAAAATGCGCAGTTGATTTCTTTTTTAACAAGACAACTACAACAACAAAAACAACAATAAACCCAATATAACCCTACGAGTGGGGTCTAGGAAGGGTAGTGTGTACGCAAACCTTACCTTGTAAAGGTAGAAATCTCAAATGAACAACTCCACAGTCATATTTACACAAGATAAGATGAAAAATAGCATCTTGTCTAAGATTTTTATTAGCAGAAAAATTAAAGAAAATAGCTCGGAATGTAACTCAAAGTCAAAACTTCTGTAACAGATTTTGATTTCCAAAACATGATGATTTCTAGTTATTGAACACTTTATGCTCTCAGGACTATCCTCTTCCTTTGAGTACAAACACAAAACAGAAAAATCTAAACCGGAATGCGAAAACTGACACCACTAATTTACACCACAGAAAAACAAAAAAACAGTAAATGCAACACTAAAGCAACAGCATGAGATTCAGAATTTGAGAGGACCAACTTTCATATGAAACTGAGAAAAAGCTATACAAGCAAAATTTGAGTCCGGGAATTCGGAAAATTCAAAATGCAGACATATTCCTCAAATATAAAAATGGTAGAAATTAGCAAATATTCAATGAAGTTTGAGGTTGAATACCTTCGCTGAAGAAGAAGAAGTCAGAGAGCGTAAAGCCTTGGGAGTTGGCAATGAAGTTCCGTTCGTCGGGAGAGGGCGGGGGATGGTTTCTGATAGCGGACCAAGGGGGAAGAGCACTTTATTTCTAAAACCTCATACTCCGTTCCTATTTCTTCTATGCTCCCTTCAAAAACAAATTATTACTTTCAAATTTGAAAATAATTTAACTTAAATTTACAATTCTACTATTAATAAAAAACTTTTATAACCACACAAATACTTTAGATCCTTTTTTGACTTATTTAGAACCTCAAATTCCAAAAGAATTTATTTTTTTCTTAAACTCAATACTCAATCTCACAAGTGGGGTCTGAGGAAGGTAGTGAGTACGCAGACCTTACCTCTACCTGGCGAGGTAGAGAGGTTGTTTCCAATAGACACTCAGCTCAAGAAAAGATGAAAAGAAAGAGAGAGGAAGAAGAAAGAAAGAATAGGGGGACAAAGGACGATAAGGAAAAGGGGAGAAATACAATTATAGTAACAACAACAACAATAACAACGAAACCAGTAACAAAAAATAACATCAAACAGTAACAGACTAGAACATACGATACACAGAGCGGACGAAAAAAAATAAGGGAGCTACTAATACTACTAAAACAGAACGGGGAACTCTCGAAATTAGGCAAATGGTCAAAACATGGAAATAAATTTTTTCACCTCGGAATTAGGACTAGTAGGCTCACCTTAGTTGGACAAGTTGGGCCCAAGACTAGCCCAATTTTCGAGTAAAATTTAAAAATAGCCAAATTTATGGGTGGTAACTGAAAAATAGCCCCAGTTTCATATATGAAAAGTGAAAAGTAATCAAAATTTAGTCACTTTTCATATAAGATAAATTTGAATGAAAATATTGTTCAAAATCCGAAAAATGTTCTAGAATAATATACTGGATTTCTGATTTTTTACATGTGAACTTCCAGCATAATATGCTGGAAGTTCATATACAGGTGCTCCAATCTCCGGTATATTATGTTGAAATTTTCCGTGTGCTGGAATTCCAGCATAATATGCTGGAAGTTCATACACAGGTGCACCAATTTTCAGTATATTATGTTGGAACTTTCCATGTTGCAGGAAAATAATGGTTATTTTTTAATTATCAGTCCGAAAATTGGCTAGCCCGTGCCATTTTCACCCGTTTTCAACTATACTAAAAGGGAAATCGAAAACAAAAAAAGAAGAATTAACCTAAATAGTCGTGCATTCAACTGCTTATATAATATATGTATAATTCTTGGAATATATAATTGTATATAATGAGGGAACAATCTATGTATACCGGCTAGAAAAAATACATAGTGAAATTTGATCGGCTATTTATGTAAAGATCCCGACAAGGAACTGGTGATCTGGTAAATAATTAGAAATACTTACACAATTGGTTTACTTAGAGGCAATTATGTAGAAATCTTTTGATAAATAGTAGTAATTAATAAAAATCCGACGAAAAAATATAAGAAACGAGAAAAAAAGATATACTAAACATTTTCTTACTGATGAAAGCTATCATTGCAACCGACTTATAACTTGATGAAATTAATTTGAAGTTTGAGCTTTTAATTAATTGGCACTTGGCATAATTAATTATATATATGCAAAAATCATAACAAGAGTTTTACTGCTCGTTCTGAAAAAGAACGAAAAAACTTAGGTACATATATAAAGTATTTTGCGTTCACGCAGGATTCGAGGAAGGAACACACCCTAAAAATTATTAGAAGAGTGTAAGGGTCCAAATTTGACCGACCACGACCAACGACGAGTACGACAAACAACGGGGTCTCTTTGAGTGAACGTCCCGAGGAAGGCGACCTTAAGGCAAAGAAGAGACTATACGACCCTTGTAATAGTGTAAGCCCATTAAGGGACATTAGGAATATTGCGTCGAATATTCCTTATATTTTGTCTTTTACAATTTAGAAGAGTTTCTCCCTTAGTATAAAAGGGGGACAATAACCTTGTAATAGGGAAAAGGGACTCTGGAAAGATTATGATTCTTGAATGAAAAGAAACTTAACGTCCATCTTCTCTTTATCTATTATTCTTTCTAGAGAATATTATATTCAGCTAAGATTTACCCCTTCATCTTTGATTGATTTGTTCAAAAAGGTTTTAATATCTTTTGAGTCAAACAATTTGGCGTCGTCTGTGGGGATTTCTATAGCTGAAATCGTAGTTTTCATCTTGATTCTTGAAGGAAATAATCACCTTTCTCCAGCTCCATAAAAACTAACGATGGCGGGAAAGGGAGAAGCGAGGCTGAAAGCAATAGAGGGTGTCACAAATAACCTCCTGAATTCCCTCAACGAGGCCAGTGGAGAAGACAATGAGAATGCAACACCAAGTGTTACACCTGAGGGTGAGATTTCACCTCCTCCACACGGGGATCTAACGACCTTGCGCTAGAGATGAAACTCAACATCCTCAGTAGGAGAAGCGTCACCAACAATCAAAAGGCTACTATAAGAATGGTTAACGAGTGCTTTGAGCAACATGCTCGAGAAACCCATTCAGGGAGGTGTCGAAGACGCGCCATCCACAGAAATCGCAGCTGCTGCCAATGAGCCAAGCGCTATGCGAACAGGTAACACCTGCACTGCTACTGATGCAGGTGACGATGCACTTAAGGCTACTAGAAGAATGGTTAATGAGTGACTTGAGCAACATGCTCGAGAAACCCATTCAGGGAGGTGTCGAAGATGCGCCACCCACAGAAATCGCAGCTGCTGCCGATGAGCCAAGCGCTACGCGAACAGGTAACACCCGCACTGTTACTGATGCAGGTGACGATGCACTTATGGCCATCTTAATGAAAATGGAAAAGATGAAAAATGAGAACAAAACACTCCGCGACCAGATGAAGGAACATCAGGAAAGGGTCGATAAAATACCAGGCGCTCCGAAGTTGTTACCAAATGCG